GGCCCAGCACAATACAAAGAGTGACATCTTAGTAAGACAATAACTTCGTTGGTTGGTTACAGCTACTGTTTTGACTGTCTGTCATAGGTTACTTTCAGATTGAGGTAAAATAGGGTAAATATTTACAGGTTCCAAACTGAGAGACCAGTCGGAAATTTTCAAAAAATCAAATTAAGAATGAAATAAATAAGTTGGAGATGCAGGACCTGTGTTGTACCTGTATGATGTGGGAGCTGGTAGACCCCACCGTGGTTGGTAGTGACCACATCTGCAGCAAGTGGTGGTTGTTTGAGGAACTATGGCTCAGAGTCGATGAGCTGGAGCCTGAGCTTTCAACACTGTGTGTCACATCAGGGAAAGGGAGAGTTACCTGGATGCTGTGTTTCAGGAGACGTCACGCCCCTTGGATGAACGACCTCGAGTTCAGCCAGTGGTCAGGGACAGGAGGGTGTGACCATGAAGCGAGGCAGGTAGAGGGATCGATATGATAGTGCTGAAGGAGCCTCAGCCCTTGAGCTTGAAGAACAGGTTTGAGATTCTTGCTCCCTGCAGGGATGAGAGGAGGGGCTAGAAGGAGGATGAGCAAACTGACCACTGTGCCGTGGTACAAGGAGCTATTCAAGATGGGGAAGAAAAGAAAAATGTAGTTGTCATCGGGGATCGCGGAGTCAGGGGAATAGATATTTTGGCCACGATCAAGAGTCCCGAAGCTGTGCTTCCTGCCTGGTGCCTGGGTTGAGGATATCTTATTAACCGAAAGAACTGCGGATGCTGTAAATCCGGAACAAAAACAAAGTTGCTGGAAAAGCTCAGCAAGTCTGGCAGCATCTGTGAAGGAGAAAACAGAGTTAACATTTCAGGTCCGGTCACCCTTCCTCAGAACTGATGGTGGCTGGGAAAACGTCAGTTTATGTGCAGAAAAATGGGGAGGGGGATGGGGTAGGGAGTAAACAATAGGATAGAGCGTAAAGAGCTTTTCCAGCAACTTTGTTTTTGTTGTTGTTGAGAATATCTTATCTGGGCTGCAGAGCGACTCGCAGTGGGAGGGGAAAAGATCCAGTTGTTGCGGCTCACGTAGATACCAACGATGTCGGTAGAGAGAAGAAGAGGTTCTGCTGAGGGAATATGGAGCATTACAGGCTAAATTGAAAAGCAGAATCGAAAATCTAACAATCTCTGGATTACAAACTGAGCGTCAAGCTAATGTGCTCAGTATCAACAAGATTAAAGGGGTAAACCCATGGCTCAGAGATCGGTGTGGGGGAAATGGTTTGAAATTCATAGGAAATTGGCAGCAATACTGGGAAAGAAGGGAGCTCCTTCCGTTGAGGCAGGCTCCATCTGGATCAGAGTCCTTGCAGATTGCATAACTAGGGCTGTGGACAAGGCTTTAACTAAACAGTGGGGCGTGGGTTCAGTTGCATTGAAAATTACGGAAAAAAGTTAAAGCAGGGGGAGGGTTCAGCAAAGGTTATGAAAGCTTCCAGAACAAGTAATAGGACAGAGTGAATGGAAAGGGTCAAGAATTGAACTTGAGGCCCAGTCGATAAGGGGGCAACTGTGAGAAGGGAGGCGGGCAATGCAGGACTGAGGATGTAGTATTTAAATGCATGCAGGATACGAAACAAGGTAAATGAGCTTTTACCGCAGATTGAAATTGACAGGTATGAGTTTGTGAATATCACAGAGACATTGCTCCCAACAGGCTCAGGGCTGGGAACTAAATATCCAAAGATATGCAACCTGTGGAAAGGACATGCATATAGGCAGAGAGGGCGGTCTTGCATTGTTACTGAGGAATGAAATCGATACGAAGAAGTGATATAGACTCGGAAGGCTTGGAATCGGCGTGGGTAGAATCGAGGTTCCGCAAAGGAAGGAGGACTCTGATGAGAGTTATACACAAGCCTCCTGACAGTTGTCAGGATGCGGGGCAGAAAATAAATCAGGGGATTGTAAAGGCATATAGGAAAGGCACTGTTACAATAATCATGGGGGACATAGCTATGCCGGTAGTCTGGGAAAATCAGGTTGGTAGTGGATCCCAAAATTTGTGGAATGTCAATGGGATGTCTTTTTGGAGTAGCTAGTGGTACAGCCCATGAAGGAACAGGCATTTCTGGAGATTTGGTGATGTGTAGTGAAGCAGTCTTGATGCGGTAGCTTAACGTGAACAAACCCCTCGGGGGGGCAGGACCCATCATATGATAGAATTCACCCCGCAGTTTGAGAGGGAGAAATTTAAATCAGATGTAACGGTATTATAATTGAGTAAAGGTAACAACAAAGACACGAGGGAGGAGCTGGCCGGAGGTGATTGGAATGGGAGCCTAGTGGGGAAGATGGTGGAGCAGCAATGACAAGATTTTTTGGGGTAATTGAGGAGACACAGCAGAAATTCATCCCAAGAGACACGGAGACTAAATTAACCACACGGTCAGACACAACGTGGAGAACTGTGGGTCTGTAATGTCATGAAAGTTTTGTGATGTTAATGCAATAACTCCTCCTAATGGACATGTGCCTCAATTTAATGCGGCCCGAGCTCTATGTGTTACGAAGACTTCTGACACCATTTGTTTTATGTAGAGCAGGAATAACTATTCATTATTAACAAAGTACCATTCCCAGAATTTCATCTGGTGCTATGATGCAAATTCTTAAAGCCACGAACTAACAATGCAGATCATTAGCCCAAATTCCTTTGTCCCGAAGCCCGTACTTCAAACTGTCAGACAAGACAAAAGGTTGGTAGTGGCGCTCAGATATGAGTTGAGAGAAAGAGAGAGAGAAAGGTGATGGGCGACGCAGTTGGATTTCGGGAATTTGAATCTCAGTCTAGCGGTTCAGACCTCCTGATGTGCTAAAGCCCACTGAGCAACTCTGCGACAGTTTGGTGAGGAAAGAGCTGAAAATTTTGAAAGAGTTATTGAGTTGGGTTGTGTAGTGATAGGAACCAGGTTGACATCATTGACTAATATAACCAGGAGATGAGAATCTCTTCAGTTCAGAGGACTGACTGCAAACTGGCTGGCCAGTGCCAGTGTACTGTGCACAAGTAAATAAATTGCGACTTGCTGACAGGACACCGGCCTCTGTGCAGTTATTTTAAGTTGATTCCTTCTTCTGGACAATCTCCCTAACAATCGGAACTCATCCTACGGCTCCTTGCTGAAAATAATCTTCCAGTTTGACCCTTACTGCTCCTGTCACAGTCATCTGTTCTTTGCTTCAGGCGGTCTTCCCTTGTCTCCTTACCAATTAGGCACTCCTCTCCGGAAGCCATCCTTTCTCGGACCTTGCTGCTCAAGCTCCAGCCTTCGACCCCTCAGGGAGGGCTGAGGAGGTTTGGCGTTGTTACTCCGGCCCCTTGTTTTTCCCCGCAGATTGTAACCTCTGTTGTGTTTTTTTTGCACCTATTGCAAGGTTATGGGATTAAGTTCCTTCTTAGCTTTGGTTGGCTTTCTGCAGTTATGAAATGACTATGAGTGGGTGTCTGTAATGGGGGTAAACATGAATGTGGTATGGTGCATCAGATATTAAACTGACAACAAAAATTGCTTTTATTGCAGCAAACGATGTGGTGACTGCTGCAGTACCTGTGGTTCCTTCCTTCTGCCTTGCATGACATGAGATCTGCCATCACCTGCACAATCTCACCACAGGATGCGATCTAGAGGATGGAGGCATCATAATAAAAGCTGTATGTGAAATAATTTTAATTGTTCACCGGGTGAAAAGTGTGCCATGCTGAACTTTACTTACACATGTAACAATCTACGTTCCCAGGTAACTCCTGGGAACAGGAACTAAACATGCTACTGTTACTGTATGACATGGAATTGCACTGCGCCCGATTATCTATACAAAACTAGGCAGCAATAACTACATCTTACCACTGACCTGCAATAAGACAATCGGAAGGCGGTGCCTAAAGTAGGCCGTGTCTGACAGTAGCTCACATGAAAATTGGTGTAATATAGTGCTTTGAAATGGTGACTGGCTATTATGTCCAAGATGTTACAGAGATAAAGGGACATGATTCTGGGGTGTGAGGTTATGGTGGGGTGAGTGGATGGGCCCATCCACTGACATTAAGATACCCCACCTTCAGCAATTGTATGATGTACCCCAGTGTTCAAACAAAATATTGTTTTCACTGTGACAGTGGAAATAAGTAATAGAAATAAAAATTCTCCTTCCATTTTTGCCCTTCACACACACCACAAGCGTTACAGAGGTGCGGTAGAAATGATGTACTGTCCACCATTGTAGACGGAGCAGGGACAGAGATAGGTGCATTAAATTCTGTGGATATTGTCACTTTACAATATAAGATTGCTAAAGTTGGGCAACTCACTAGGGAAATTATTAAATTGTTTTCCGTATGGACCAAACCATCAGCACATAGAGATTTAGCAAACTGGTTTCTGACCAACACAGTCTGGAAGTTTGTTGATAGCCCCGTTTGGGGTATCACACTCAGGAGGAACTTAATGGGGAAGCTTTTTGAACACAGTGTAATTTGTTCAAGTGATATTGTTTGAGACAGTGGCATGAGCTAACTACCTCATTGCTATCCCGACATCTGGAAACAATCTCTCACACGCTAACTTAATGGTTAAACCTGATTTATTTAAAACTAGTTGAAACACCACAGTATATAATGCTGCCTTTTTGATTTTAAATAGTACACAATGATAAATGTTTTGCAAGTTTATTGCCCCATTTGTTTGGGAACCTGTGTTTATGATGAATGGCTAGATGATAACAATGAAACCCACAAGTGGATGATTGTGAACAATGGTCAGAAGGCCTATAATACCTCTCCCATACCCCTGCGTTCGAACCATG